TCGGTTTGACAGTTTAAAAGCTTAAACAATTTCTGTATTAAAAGAGAGATTCAGATTATTAGTCTGAATGTCCGCTGAGGAAAGCGATATCTTTGTCGTACAATACTTTTATCTGTTAAGGGTGATTTCCAATGACAGTGCTGCTCAGTGCATTTGTTGGCTGTGTCTTACAAGTTGTTGTTTAAAGTAAAATTAACATACTTGTTTCCAACAGTGTTTCAGTCTCTTTCAATATAAAATTCTTTACTGCTGACTCTCTTATAAAAACTGTCTCTTGTCGTCATCTAATGGTGGAACAATGTAACTAATATCACCATAACGAACACACACCATTTCTCAATACTAAACATTATTATTAAATAGTACAATTGTTTGTATAAATATTATTTATTGAATAATAATATTTTATAAACAACAACAGCCATCATAAAAGTTGCTGAGCAATTCGGTCAAAAGTACAAAGGCAGCCCTCTAATATAGAGCATTATTAAATTTACATAAACATATAACAAAACTATTTGCTCTGGAACAAATAATTGATCAATGAGACCAAAGACTGTCCATTAACTTCACCCAAAACTAATCAGAGCCAGCGGCAAATTCCATCTGGCTGAGGTGAGGCTGCTCTCGGTGGGTTTATAAGCGCTGAATGGCCGCTGACGCCCTGGAGCTCACAGCCCCGAAAACGTCAAACCAATTTTCAAATAGACATTATCTTTATTAACAAACCGTATATTTGAAGTCTAAACAATTAATTGCCCCCTAAAAAAACTCTTAAAACTACATTCCGTGACACAAAAACATAAAATGATAGTGGATTTGGGCATCCGCCATGACACTCGCTGTGAGAAATCCTGCAAGCAGAGTAATACAATGATTATTACGATGATGATGTGATTACCTACGGCCGAATCACAGCTGTGCTGATATACAGCCACATCGCACTGCTACTTGTGTGATATTGCTCAACCTGTCCATATTACCACCTGCCTTATTGCTTTAGTTTCTATAAAGTTACAGATGAATTTGCACCACAATAGCATAGCGTGTGACTGGACGCATGACCTTTGACATCAACAATAAATAATCTGTTAAGAGTCTCCTACTTTTTAAAAGCATTTTTTAAGACTATTTATTTTGCTACCAACGCATAATTACTGTATATTATGAATTGCAGAAACTTTTTGTAATTAGCATTTACTTTGGGTCGTGACGCACCCGTTGAGAAGCACTGATGTAGATCGTGATGCTGTTGGCTTTAAATGCTGGAATGGTGTAATTCTCCATAATCTGTAATTACAGTTTTATCTATAATATACAGTATGGCATCACTGACTATTATACCTATAAGCATGAGGTTTTAGTCTCTTATTATTCTTCGTGTTTTGCTAAAACATAAATGCAGTGATTAATAACGAGGACTTTTCCGTAATTACAGGTCTGCACTAAAATTAATGCATGCTTTTGAGTTTCCATGATCCCTTTCAGGGCAAAACACAAATTGCTGTTACAAAGTAGATGCAAGACATGCATACAAATTTGGGGAATTTCCTTTCATCCTCTAGCTGTTTCAGAGGATGTGTATAATTTGCTCACGTGAAAAGATAATGATCATCTTGAGGTTATTTATTTATTTATTTATTTATTTATTTATTTATTTATTTATCACATCCTGTGTATAAAAAATGAACATGATGGATATGGAATTGGGCAGCACACAGCGCATTAACTCAGGTTTACATGACAACTTGAAGTCATGGGGCAACAATTCTGTATCACACTCTGTTCAAATTATAGAGTAGCTGTAACTGAAAACACGCATAGTTACACACTGCACCGAATAGAAAATGAAATATGCTGTTTGATCATTGTAATCCCTTTGGCATCCAGCTCATGCTACATAATGTCACACACCCAAAACCGCTCAGAAAAGGAAATGTAAAACATTCAGCCTTACAAACAAATTCATCTCCCTTTGGCACAAACGCACAATTAGTTAAGAGTCTGAAGACTGTAAGCAGACACAACAACCAATGCGGAAAATGAGTCATTCATTGAATCATTTACTGTATATTGAATTTCTTGAAGTCTTGCTTTATTGGAATGTCCTTCGTGTGTACAGTCTTTTTTGGTGAGTATAAATATATATAAATAAATAATATATATTAAACCTTTACTCTATTGATTTATGAAAATGCAAATAATTTGCAGCAAAATAAGACTTGGGAACTGAGATTTTATATATCCAACTCTTCTTACCTGCATATTTGCATTTTCATAAACGAGCAAAGTTCCTTTTGTGCGTACCTGCATGTGTGTGCGTGTCTGTGCCCATATTGTTCTCCACGTATCCAGGCATGACGTGTCAAGCGCGCAGCTCCTACCTGGACTCTGAAGTGCTGTGGGGCTACCGCTTCACCCCGGTGCTTTCTCTGGAAAAGGGCTTCTACGAAGTCGACTACAACAACTTCCACGACATATACGAGACCAACACCCAAACCTGTAGCGCTAAAGAACTCTCCGCTCGATTAAAAGAGAGTCCGCTCCTCCCTCACCTGCCGCTCCTCAGCCCCGACCTCAGGCAGCACACAGACCCCTTCTCCAGCCAAACCACACAGGACGAGCGGGAGAAGGATGGCGAGAAGCCCACAGAGACCAACAACGGCTCTGCCAACCGCTTGGAGGAGAACCCTTGAGGGAAGCCCTGCTCCGAATTGACTCAAGGACTCAGTCTGTAGAGACTGGCAAGCTTCTTTCCCCTCGCATGGAGAAATAGCCTTGCAATAGCCATGCAATACGACCCCCGATTCCTCTAGAGAGCCGAGCTGATGTGTAGATCGAGGTTAGACACACAAACAGATGAGAATCCGTATATATTTATAAACCTATGCGTACTACACATATTTTAGCTTTATAAACTCTGTTGTGCAGGTTTGCATGGTATCAGTCAACGCCCTGTACCTCAAGGACAAAATAGTAGCCATATACTGTATGACCCAGAGGTCAAACCCCTTAATCTAACCATTGCAAATCAGCTTTAATAGAATCCCAATGCAAACACAACGCTTGCGTGTTTAACCACCGCGAAGGCCCGCGACGTTGGTTTCTTTAAGCTAATCTATTGTATGTTTTATCTGCATTATAATGATGCATTAGAATTATCAATTTCCCCCTCATATCGAACTGCATGTGTTTGAAATTGATGCAAGATGGAAGCTGGAAATATCACCAGACTAAAGCACAACCGCTGCAGTGGCAGACGTATGGTTTGAAAACCTGCAGTTAACTAAAATAACGGCGACGAATGGAAATACCACACATGCATTGTCTCTGTGAAGTTCAATCTTGCCCAGTCCACGCTCCTGGACTCGTATTTCATCTCTATCACATTTGATTTGTGTGCAAGTTTGAGGCCACGCACGTGAGACTGTCAGTCGCATTTCCAAGCGGTCCGAAGAACTGTGTTTCAAAGCATGAACCCTAAGGCAAGTTCTACACACTTTCTAAACAGGGTATTTTCTAAGGCATGCAGACTTGAAAAACTCAAACACTTTCTACAAAAATTGTCCAGTTGAATTCTGGGTTAAGGTGAGAGGAGAGCTCCATTCACAGCAGAGACAACGGTGCAGTATTTTAAAGACGCATTTTAAAGGGAACTCACCTATGACAAGTCATTTTCACAGAATAATATTATATGCAGGCTATTTACATAAATAAAATAAATAAAGAATTTTATAAGGGAATACTGTTGTTTTTTGGTTGGTTGGTTGGTTGGTTGGTTTTGTGTTTTGTAAATGGGGAATAGACAAAAATGCCCAAAAAAGCAATGTCAAATGCAAGAAGCAAAGTGTGTGGTTAAATTAGGGAAAATGATGATGATGATGATGATTTATAGACAAGTAAATCGTTGAATAGACAACAAAAAAGTCATTGAACACGATGCCAGATTTTGGGTTCCATGTGCACTTTAGAAAATTGTATATAAAATATATATTTAAATTGTATGTAAATTTGAAACTTTCAAAAAAAAGTGATTTATTTATTTATTCATATTTTACAGTAGCAGATGCTGAGAGAAGTTTTCTGTTTGGCTCTGAATGGTGTAGTTCTCATGTTTTTCTTAACAATACGCTTTGTTCCAGCCATATGTTACCAGCCAGTGCTCCTTCTGCCCACGGTACATACGCATTATTCAAAGATGAGCAGAAATTAATTATCTGCAGAAAATGGGACACAAAAAAGTACCTACATTTCTCTAAATTTATCACTCATGCTTTTTTGTAAGTGCAAGAAGTTCCTTTGAGGAAGATGCACCTGAGCGCAGCTGACTGCTTTGAGAACACATATCAATTTATTAATACCTCTGAGTTGAACTGATGCTCACAAAGGCATATTCCTCATCATCCGTCTTCATGCTCCATGAAAGTTGCTTAACGACAAATCAAACAGTTTAATAAAACCAATAAGAACAATATGCAACGGTTCAAATGCCAGATTGCTTACAGTATAAAACAGCATTATGTCTCATCGGTCTGTACAATACCAGAGATATTGCCTGTGAAACTCAAATAAGCAGTATAATCCTTCAGTAAAATATGTTCATAAGAGAAATAAGCAACTTGAGGCTGTGCCTTATAATGATTTTACTATGGTGTAGAAACAATGGGAAGTGCATAAAACCTTCCAGACTATAATAAATTGCATTTATTATTTTCATTTTAAAATATGTCCAAGTAGATTTTGGAACCTCTCTACACATTGACCTGGTTTTCTGAAGTGACGTTCACCAAACAAACCTATACTTCCCTATTGAGGACGGGGCTACCGTACCGTATACACATGTCCACTCATTTTCAAAGGTATTTATTTATATGAAAACACGCTGTCTAATGGTGTCAGGATGTACGTATGTACACAATCAATATGGATTTGTATACATGGATGCATCACTGCTCATAAGATCATGCTGGTCTTCCTTTCTCTTCTCAATGTTTCAAAACAAATATTAATAACCAGCGACTAGGGGTATTCCCAATTCCTAAATCATTATCATATTTGGTCATGAGAAACAAATAGCGAATACACCTGAATAACAATAATATGTCTTAGCTTGATTATAAAATGAGTAACAACAATCCAAACATTATATAAATAAATGATATTTGCATATTTTTCAGATATTATTTTAGATAACATGCAACACATTCTTTTCCGAACAAAGCAAGCAAAGTGAAGTTAAATGCAGAGAAAGAGCACTGTGAAGACGTCATGCACTGTTAAGAAATGCAATGAAACGTAGAGAGCAGAATTGTTAGTGCTGTTTGTGTGAATTGAAGTTGGCAAGAGAGAGAAATCCACCGCCGACAGCCAGCCACAGTCATTCTGCATGAGATTGTGAGTGGAAACGCTGTAATATCTGGGATCATTTGAGAGTCAGCTACACAGACATGTACGAGGCTTTCTTACACCTGGAATTAACATGCATTTACAGTCAGTCACAGTCAAACAGCACTTGACCTCATTTAAAGTCAGATTAAGACACACTTACTAAAATCTGATTTCTGAAACACATTCAGGGACGGATTCTGACCATATCTGAAGAAGGAGTAATGTATTTTCCTTAACCACTCTGTATGTGTAAGTAACAGGCCTATATGTGACTAGCTTTCGCATTTTACTTACATTTTGCCATAAAAGAAGACATATGCTGTGTACAATTGTTGCACTTTACTATGTAACATATTTTAAAAAGTTGATTTTTTTATGAATTGGTTAATGCACTATATTACAACTATGTTTGACATCATAGCATTGAATGAAAATTCAACCCATCTGTTTTTTTTGTTTGTTTTGTTTTTTTATGCATGTTATAAATCTTATTGTGATGAATTCACAGTCCAATGCAAGATGTTTGGACGTTGTATTGTTTAATCAAAACGTTTAAACTGGATCTTCTGGTGAACTGACAGACTTGTGGACTTCTTCATTTATATAGTCTGCTTAAGCCCCGCCCCTGCAAGCTCATGTTCATCCGCATCCATTTTATGCCACGCCCACACATTTTAACATCCAATCAACAACTGCTGCACTGAACCAAATCCCCACCCTACATTTTTTGCATTTTCAAAATATTACACTCAAGATATACATCTCAATACAGAAGAAGTGTTCTGTCACTACTTTTGTTTTATAATGATTTTGATTATATGCAACGTTTGTTTTGTTTTGTTTTCAGCCACTTCCTGTTCAGGCTCCGCCCACCTGCAGTTGCATTAATGCATTTCATAGGAATTAACAGTGTATTTAATGTATGCATTTTTTTTTCAGCATGGTTTGATAAAAATCATTCCATACAGATATAGATACAAAACTATTTTATAGAGTTTGTCCTTTAGTTTTGCTCTTTCAGTGAGCTTTATTCACAGCATGATCTGGTTGGTATTATGTGGTCTCTATATACTGTACTATCAGAGCTTTGCAGGATCAGTCTAGTAAGTCATCAGTTGGGTCTATCATGTGTTAGACTTACACAACAGTCCTAGATCAAATCCCAAGTCTAACCCTCCTACATTGAAAACTTTGAGAGAAAGTTTCTTCTGCAGTCCTCCAGACATTTTAGACCCTGCGGTCCATTTGAGAGTCTAGAAAACAGACTAGAAAACAAGATTCCTTCACATGAATCACACAACAAGCCTTAAAGCAACCACAGTCCTCCCTGAAGAGCAGAGAAAACGCTCAGTCACTGAACAGTCGTGACCTCACTTCCTTCAGTCTATTAATATAGAAACTGATCATGCTCTATCTGCTCATTAATGAGAACGTGAAAAAAAAAAAAACTGGAATCAAAAACATGTTTCTTGAATTCAAAAAAAAAACTGGAATCAAAACTGAATAAAAAAAAAAATGGAATCATAAACATCATGTTTCTTGAATTGTCAAGAGTAAAAAGGCAAAGACAAAAATTAATAATGATTTTCAGAATTCTGTTTTACTCTTCACGAAACTGCAAGATTAATTCAGGAGGTACAATGTGACATGAAGAGACTCCCCAAAAATGTATCGATATTTATTCATTAATAAATCATGATATCTGTAACAAAACGATCATCTATAACATGATATCTGGTCTATATGCACACACAGTAAAAAACATGTTTTAGTAAAAAATGAATAAAATAAAGAGTATATGAGGCCTATTGGAGCATGTTTTTAAGAAAATAGTATTTCATTCTTCCAACTTAAAATTCAATGTTACTTGCCATTCCTTTGTAATTATTAGTGAAATTTACTAGCAATTCTTGAGTGACACACACACACACACACACACACGCATTTAGTTTAACTTGATGTACTAAAATAACGATGTGTGTGTGTGTGTGTGTGTGTGTGTGTGTGTAATGGTGTT